CTGGAATTTTGGCAAATTGTCTTAATCTGAGTCCACAACAAACTTGTGGGACCTTGAGCGACCTCTAAATGTAGTTCAATTTGCTCCATATTTACATCATATCTTTACTACATCTGATAGAACATATTTAAACTTGTGGAGGTGGGTTTTAATGAAATTCAAAATTTTCCATAGTGCCGTGGACCACCCTACCCTGTATAGTAGGAGGGCTAATTAAAACAAATCCTGAGAAATAATGTAGCATTTCAGTGCTCAGGAGTGTTGCAAGCTTTGTATGTCCAAGGCTTTTAGACTGTAAATGTAAAAATTATTTTCTTTTCTTTCTTAATAATCAAATATCACGACCATTAGTAACCTCGTGAATAACGAGAGAAATTAACCTATAAAAAGAAGCACACGAGTCTCTTTAACTCCTTAATAAAAGTGAAGATGATATAAAACGAAAGTGGCACTCGCTGGATTTGCATAAAACTAACGAATACAAAAAACTCAAGTTGTACAAAGGTATACGACCAAAGACAATATACAAATCGCCAAGTTCGTAAGGCAAAACCAAAAGTCAAAACCAAGTTGTTCAAAATAATCACCAAAAACTCCCCTGTTTTCTACTTCAGGGTTTTCCTTCACACGGAGAAACACCCAATAATTTACGTGGGAGGGGCGGGACTTCCGTCAGCTGGGCAAATCAAGATCCATCAGGCCATTAAGCATTAAAATAAGCTACTTCGTTACTCAGAGTGTATGTTTCCGGCAGTTCCAGGAAGTGCTTGGCAGGCAATTTGAATGCATTAAATAGAGAGTTTTTATGTAGTTACGTCAATATGTTGTTTCGGTCTGTGTTAGTCACGTGTCTGAGTGTATCGCGGATGTAAACACATTTGGTTAACAAACTTAATATTTCATATTATGTTTTTTTTTCCTCCACAAAAATGTAATTCAGACCTACTGTCTGAATTAATCTAATCAGTAATAAGCAATTTTCATTACAAAAACACACTAGTCATTTAAGAAATGAAAACAGTCAAGAACACCACAAAAATGTCATTGGACATAACTTTATTGGTCATATTTAAAATAAAAGTGGCAAGCAGAATACAGGCTCGGTATACAATAAGTTTATACAGATCCTTCCAGACATCATGTGAAACGTTAGAAACCGTACTTGCAAATGTTTCTAAACTTAAACTATAGGTGGGCATTGGTTTGTCAGGGCACAGCACACAGTGACAGCCTTATCCAGCATTGTGGCTTATAATCCATGCATGCGAATATACACATACATGCACTGATAAACGTGTCTTTACAGTTTTCCTGTTTACTTCTTTCTTTAAAAAGCATTCACTCTGTAACACTAATTTAACACGAATATATTAATATATATTGGCGATTTGTATACTGTCTTTGGTCGTATACCTTTGTACAACTTTTTGTGTGCGTACATGAGAAAACCTGCTGGTAAACATTCTGAAGAGTTGTAGGATTTTAAATTTATTAAATTATTTTGTTTCTGACTGGCCCAACAGCTATGCCACCCATCGGGAATTCTCGCAAGTCTCCCAATTGATCACTCCTGGCTCAAGTCTGCCGATTGGCCACTTCGGGCCTGTATCTCATTGTAACTAAAGATTACAATCTAATCTTTATGAGGACTTGCTTGCCAAGATTTATCAAGTAGGTTCCTAATTAGACGTATTTCATCCTCTGCAGATATATGATGTATTATGAGTCTGTCATGTGCAGTGGCTCTGTGCCCTTCTGGGAACCTGGTCTAAAGAGAAACATGTGATAAATCAGAAGGTTTCTATCTACGGTTGATAAGGTTCAGAAGGGTAGAGGGTGGCTTTTGACCAGTGATGACTGGTGGCTAATAATTTTACTATATTATAATAATGAATAGAGAATGAATTTCTAGGTGACTTTAAATGATTAAGGCATGTAATCAGATTAGAAAAGTAGCCTACTTCAACAGTCAGCAACTGATCCTGTTATTGAACTGTGAACAAATACAGCGAGATTTGTGTGTCTTGATCTTTGCTGCCACACTGTGGGACATATATGCAACTACAATTTGTTCGCTCCATGGTGGAGATAAAAACCTGAGGGAGTTGGCTGGCTGGAATCACCACATAATAGTGTTCTCCAAAAGTGAAGAAGCTGGCATCATGGTGTCGGGAAAATCGCCTACAGCTCAACGTCAGCAAGACCAAGGAGCTGGTGGTGGATTTTAGCAGGAGACAGCAGTGACACCAAAAGCCCCTCATCATCGACGGGACTCCAGTGGAGAGGGTGAGGACCTTCATGTATCTGGGTGTCCACATCGCAAAGGACCTGACATGGACTAAACACATTCAAGCTCAGTCCAAAAGGACAAAGCAGCGCCTGTACCACCTCAGACAGCTGAGGAAGCTTGGGGTCTCTCCAATGATCCTAAGGACTTTCTAATCCAGCGCTGTGAAAAGCATCCTCATGCAGATCATTACATCATGGTTGGGGAGCAGCTGTGTGTAAAGCCCTGCAGAGGGTGATTCACGCAGCAGAACACTGCTGTAGGTCAGCCCTGCCATCTCTGAAGGACATTTACAACAAGAGATGCAGGAGATCTATAAAGATCATCCACAGACGATAAGACTCCTTAAGCAGGACATGCCACCCCATGTCATCTTTCATACACTCACTCAAGGACTGATCACTCAACACTGTCACTGCTGCTGCTGTTGTTGGGACTTGTCTTTTTGCACAATCGTCACTCGCACTTTTTGGTCAAAATTTACACATTCATATGTTGTAAATTGTAAAACTGTAAACCTAGGAATACCAATGCTTTTTTAATTCTAACTATAACTTTATTCTTATTAATTTTTCTTGCTAAAGAAAAACTTACTTTAGTTATTCTAAGTTTAAAATACTTATAAAACTTACCTACTTACCTTACTTAACATTTAACTTTTTGCACAGTCTGAAAAAGGTCAGTTCAGGATGTATTTCATTGTGTGTTGTATGTGTATGACTATGCATGTGACGAATAAAGAATCTTGAATCTTGAAAATGTTAAGGATATGTATTATGATTACAGTAGCATGATAACAATGATTCAGCGTATTGAAGTTGATGCCGATAGTTGATGTACAGGCCATGCAAAATTATTGTGGTGGCAGGTTTTATACATATCCACAGATGCTAGCCTCGAGATTAGACTGGTGACTAATTTTATTTATTTTACAATTATTTGTAGGAACAATTTCAAAGTCGATACTTAAAAAACAGTACAAAGCCCTCATTAATTTAATTTATATTAATAAGCATAGGAAAAAAAAACATTCTAAGAAATGAAATTCAGCACAATCTTCTGAATACAAAATGAAACTCAACAACTGGGATGTCAATTTGACACAGAACACCCTGGCAGATATAAAAATATTTGAATTGTACACTTTTTAAAATCTGTCAGTTTGGCACATTACCACATAACACCCTGAAATATAAATATGTCAATTTGACAAAACAACTTGACAGATATTTATCTGTCATTCTGATATATAATACATATATACGACCAGGCCCTATAATGTTCCTCTAACCTGCTAAGTGTTACATTCCTTTTAAATTTTGTGCTTTTATGCTCAAAATCGGGTTAGCTGATCATAGCCAAAAGTCATTATGACCTTAACAGATCATCTACAGACCTAATGTATAAGAACTAACATTATTAATTCAATAATACATTTCTAGCACTTTCCACCGATACAATGCCAGGAAGAAGATGGGATGAACTACATGAAATGTCAATACATCAAAGCAAGTAATGTTTTTTGATGGTAAATGTTTTCCCATGTTCAACATTAGTCAGGAAATTGTTTTCTTCTCGTTCAGAATTCTTCTACACATCAGGGTTTTTTGCTGCAGAAATAAAGCAATCATTGTGTTTGGCACGAAGATCTTTTACTTTTATTAACATACTTTATAGAAACAGTTGTACAAATGAAATATTGTATTCAATCATCTTCCATAAATGTTTATTGAGGACAGATTATTTTTTTTCTTTACTCAACTAATTCATCATCCTACAAAACAGAAAATAAATATCTCTCTAGTATTTGCATTAGCTGATTGTACTGGTGCAGTGAGCTAATGTTTGTAACGCAAAGTACATGGGAATTGTTATAGAAATTTGTCTAGATGCAGTCAAACCCTTGTGTAAATTATAATAGAAACTTACTTTGCCAGGATCCTCTCAATGGTCTTTTTGACCCAGGGAGCGTTGGGGTCCAGGCAGATCTCCTGCCCAGTCTCTTTCAGGGTTGCACTGTAGCAGAATCAAAGAAAGTTTGACTGGGTTACAAAAAGGAAGTGATAGACAGAGAGTGAGGTCACTCCTGACCCACCATACCACCCAAAAGACATTTTCTTGGAGGAACTTACATGATCTCAGTGTCCTTGCAGTGCTGGCTGGGAGGGAAGATCTCCACGCTTTCGATGAGCCTGCCGATGCGCTGGCTCTCAGTCTGGATGCAGCGGCACCGCAGCTCCATTCCCAGACCTCTCATGCTCATTCCTGCACAGGGTTAGAGATCAGAGTCACACACAAACCACTGCAGTCTTTTTACTTAACATGGCATTTTGGGAATGAATCTGAACTACTAAACGCTATATACAGTGTTATTAACTTTACAGTCTCTTCTTGCCGTACTTACGAAAATGGTTTCAGTATAACCTACTGTCTGAATTAATCTAATCTATTTAATATCAGAAGACATTCTGCACTGCTGATAGAAAGGGAGCTTAAGCCAGTGAGCATCTTACCCTCCGTAATGGTCAGCGCAGTCAGGAGGACAGTGAAGACAGCAACCACCAGTCTGCAGTTCATGGTGCCTTTCTGTGTTTATGGGAGCGAGTGTCTGCTGAGGCTGTAGGAGTCAGGTCTGGATCTGCCACTGGAATGTGTTGCTTGAGCTGCAGTCTGTGTCACCTTTTAAAGCCTGAATTTTTCGACGTCAGTCATCCTGTGATTGCGCAACTGAGGAATTTCTCAACGTTCAACTTCAAAGCCAGTATAAGCAGGAAATATTGTTTGTAAATCCTTTAAGCCCACCCTTCAACATCTGTTTCTGTTTATACAGTATATATGTATATGAAATTATTATGAAAACAGTTTAATTCTGGTATTTCTATAAAACACAATGCCTTCAGTACCTTGTGCTCTATGCTGCCTGAGATGGGTTACAGCTAGTTGTGATTTTATTGTGGATGGATTGATGGATGGATGGATGACTTTGCTAATGTTTTAATAGAGGGTATTTTGGATGAGTGCTGTAGCCTTCATAAGATCCATGTTGCTAGAATGACTGGTCTGTAAGGGCTGTACTACATCAAGTCTCTCTGATCTAATTTTTCTTTTATCTATATTATCTATTACTGTTTAAGGCTACATATCATTAAGACAGACCTATTAAGTTTTATACCATTAAAACAGACCTATTGCGGCTATATTCCATTACACCAGACCTATTAATGGTATGCAGTGCCACCAGAAAGTATTCATACTCCTTCACTTTTTCCACATTTTGTTACAGTACAGACTTATTCTAAAATAGATTTTAGTATAGTTTTCTTTTATAAAATCTACAGAAAATGGTTCATAATGGCAAAGTGAAAATGTGTTTTGACATGTTATAACAGTTTTTTTAAAATGTAAACATTTAAACGTAATAGGTACATAAGTATTGCTATGACCCTCAAAATTGAGCTTAGGTGCAACCAATTTCCACTGATCATCCTTGAGATGAGTCCACCTGTGGTAAATTCAGTTGGTTGAACATAATTTGGAATGGCACACTAAGCCGGAGCTCCTGTGTTCCCTTGTGGAGATAGGAGAACCATCCAGAAGATCAACCATAACTAACATACTCCACCAATCAGGCCTTTATGGAAGAGTTGCCAGACGGAATCCAATCAAAAATCTCTGGAAAGACCTAAAAATCCAACCTGACTGGGCTTGAGATGATCTGCAGGGAAGAATGGGAGAAAAACCTCAAAAACAGGTTTGCCAAACTTGCAGAGGCATACCCAAGAAGACTTGAGGCTGTGATTCCAGCCAAAGGTGCTTCAACAAAATATTAAGCCATGGGAGTGAATACTTATGAAAGAGATTAGCAAGCTTTTGGCAATAAAAACATTTCTAAATTTCATCTTTCTAAAAAGTTGTTTTTGCTTTGGGGTACTGTGCATAGATCTTTGGGGAACAACTATACTCAAATTTATGTCAGAATAGTAACAAAATGTGGAAAAAGCGAAGGGGTGTGAATGCTTTCTGGTGGCGCAGTATACCATTAAAAAAGACCTATTAAGGCTATATACCATTAAAACAGACTTATTCAGCTTACATACCAGTAAACTGCAAGCCAGTAAAACAGCATCATTAAACAGTCTAGGATTGATAGTTTGATAGCATGAAGTACAGAAAACTTTTCAAATGTACAGAAAAATATTAATATTAATCTATCAGTATAATATTCATAGTGATGAAATAGAATAGAATGGTATGACTTTATTGTCATTGCACATCTCTTGCACAACAAAATTTGCAGAGCAATCCCTAGCATGTGCAAAACACATAATTAAAAGAAAAGGAAAACATCCTACATAAATAAAATATTTTGGCCAGTTATTGCACAGCAATCACCGTTATACTATTTTGCACAGGTTTTTTTTAATTATATTGCAGTTAATTGGTATTATTTTGTTATTTTGTGCTGTCTTTTAAATGCACATTAAAACTTAAGTAGCAGACCTGTTTACGCTGCTTTGATTTGTCAGCCATTCTTTTCGTGTCCTTATATGCATGAGTGACTCAGTGCCCCACCAACAAAGAGCACTGTCTCCAAACGGAGTCATTTCCTAAGCCATGCACTTCCCAGCACACTGTCACCAGGACCCTGATCACTAACATGAAAATGGAGTAAGATCAAACGAGGGCATGGGAACATTTAACATTAGTGCCAGTATTTGTACTGATCCCTGACAGTTTTCCAAATTCACAATTTCTTCTGTGACTAATAGGAATTTGCGGCACCTGTATTTGAGTTTAATCACTTCGTCTTTGTGCGTCGCGGCTCTGCTGTAATATCCGGCTATACGAATTTGTGCCAGACGCACTGATTTTTCTCATGTGGCTCACGGTTACAACAGCATCACATTGGCTGTGCCCCAAATCCACTCCTGGCCAGGTTGTGAAACTGTCAAGCCTCAGTATTTTGTCTATTATCTGCCCATATCTAACATAGTCCAATGACCATGATCCACTACAGTGCACACCTAAGAAGGGCCAACACTTTAGATCTCGGTATTTTAAATATCCTGTTCATTGAAAATGTATCACTGGCAAAACATGGTTTCTGATCATCTGAAGAAATCATAACGAAGGTAGAAATTTCAAGACTCGCTTCCTGAAGATAGCAGAGCACAAATAATGGTCTTTTCATGGAGCACCTGCTTCTTGCTAGGACTTCCTGATGGTGGAAGCATATGACTGCAGCCTGGAGTTTCCTTCACAGTTCACAGTGGTGATTTCCAGAGCTTTCTAAAGGTCCGCTGTGGTGGCCGAAGTGTCACAATAGGCAGTATCACTTCCTCCATTATTCACATGATTCAACACATCCGCCATGCAAGAGCCGGAAAAGGTTCTGCAAGACTCCAAAGTCACATATCAGTTGAAATACAAATCATAACAATTATCACAAGAATTACTGTTCTAATGTAAATATGGAAGCTGTTTATGTTGCCTAAAACATGTTAAAATACACTGCCCGGCCAAAAAAAAGTCGCCATTTGAATTTATATCAGCAAATACTCAAGATCCAATGACTGGATCATTATTACAGCTCACCAACATTATGCAGCAATAAAGTAAAGTCAGCGGATTACCTGAATCTACTGAATGGCCAAGTTACACCTCCATCCATCATCAATGGATTTTTTTCTTCCCTGTTGGCATGGACATATTCCAGGACAAGAATGCCAAGATTCATTGGGTTTGAATTGTCAAAGACTGGTTCAGGGAGCATGAGGAATCATTTTCACGCATGACTTGATCACCACAGAGTTATAACCTTAACCTCATTGAAGGTCTCTGGGATGTGATAAAGGAGGCCTTATGGAGTGGTTCAACTCACTTGTCAATACAGGATCCCGGTGAGAAATGAATGCAAATCTGAATGAAAATAAAGGGTGAGATATTGCATAAGCCTGTGGAAACAATGCCATGACAAATGTGCACCATAATCAAAACTAAAGGTGGTCCAATGAAAAATTCAAATGGCAACTTTTTTTTTGGCCGGGCAGTGTACTTTACACTTCATTGACCATCCAACATTCATAAATGGAGTGAGATTCAGATCATTTGTTCTGCCGGAAGAAGAACAACAGGATGAGGTCATAATGCCAAATGTGGTGAATTATATTAGATCAGTTTTCAGGGTTAATTTAGGTTGCTTTAACTATAAAACAAAAAAACAAAAAAAATGAATGAAAACAGCACTGTTGAACCTCTAGTTTGAGTGTGGTGTCCATTGTCCATATTTATGCTTTTCTGTTATTTAGTAATATGCCTGTGTATGTGTATAAGCTTCTTTGTTGGTATTATCAAAGAGCTTTCTAGCATTCCAAGAATTATTTGCAGAACAACACTTTGCTTTGTGAAATGAAGAAAGTTATAACCACCACAAAGGAAACCACAACACTAAATGAACACTGCAGCAACTTTCACTTCTGCTACTTCAAAAAGCTTGTGAAAAAGTCAGTCTCACAGCCCCCTGACGTACCCTCAGGACATGGATTAGGAATAAATTTTTACAACCAAGGGAAATCAATCAAGGGAACACCCCTCCCCCCTGACAGTGAACTACCTGGTGTGGCTGAAGGAATTTGGACCTTGCTGAGTGGAAAAGCAAACAAATGAAGAGCACACACCCCAGACCATCAAACCTTATTACTGATCTTGTTCCGCAAACTATAAACACCACAGCCACTACCCCACATCAACACCAATTAATGTTCCTGTAACCTTGCGTCTTCGAATCTTCCACTGTCCCCACTGGAGAACAGTGATGCCATATTAACCACCCAGTGTGGTTAGGAGTGACTGTAAAATGTCCTGCAAAATCCGCAAATAATAACAACTCAATTTATGTTATAAATTAATATATATAACAAATTAATAATAATAATAATAATAATAAACAAAGAAATAAAAATTGGGATGGAACGGTGGTGCACTGGTTAGTGCTGTTCCATCACATTTCTGGGACCAAGTTTTATTTATTTTTATTTAACCTTTATTTAAGTATCAAGTCTTCCCAGGCTTTGTGTTTGGGGAGTTTGGATGTTTTTCCTGTGTCACTGCGTGGTTTCCTATTGGTTATCTGGTTTCTCCCCACAGTCCAAATACATGCAGACCTGAATAGCAGTTGCCTAATCGTTCTTAGGTGTGAATGGTGTGTGCGCCCTGTGGTAGTTGGCTCCCAATCCTGGGTTATTCCCATAACTGAGCCCAGGATAAGAGGATAAAGGGTATTCCAAATCAACAGCCTAACAGGTAAGACAGATAAAGCATTTTACTTAAAAGACTTTCTATTGCTCTGCTTATTGGCAAATATGTGAAATTCCAGTGGCGTAACTTCCCCGATGACTCACCACGTCCTGTCTGGAGACTTTAAAAAGCAGCATGATCCAGTGGCAGATACAAACCTGCATACTACAGGCTCAGCAGACGCACGCTCTGATCAACACAGAAAGTCACCATGAACTGCAAACTGGCTGCTGCTGTCTTCACTGTCCTCCTGGCTGCGCTGACCATTACGGAGGGTAAGACGCTCACTGGCTTAAGCTCCCTTTCTATCAACAGTGCAGAATGTCTTCAGATATTAAATAAATTACATTAATTCAGACAGTTAAATTATACTGAAACTATATTTTGTAAATATAGTAAGACTAGTCTGTAAAGTTAATAACACTGTATATAGCGTTTAGTAGTTCAGATTCATTCCCAAAATGCCATGTTAAGTAAAAAGACTGCAGTGGTTTGTGTGTGACTCTGATCTCTAACCCTGTGCAGGAATGAGCATGAGAGGTCTGGGAATGGAGTTGCGGTGCCGCTGTATCCAGACTGAGAGCCAGCGCATCGGCAGGCTCATCGAAAGCTTGGAGATCTTCCCTCCCAGCCAGCACTGCAAGGACACTGAGATCATGTAAGTTCCTCCAAGAAAATGTCTTTTGGGTGGTATGGTGGGTCAGGAGTGACCTCACTCTCTGTCTATCACTTCCTTTTTGTAACCCAGTCAAACTTTCTTTGATTCTGCTACAGTGCAACCCTGAAAGGGACTGGGCAGGAGATCTGCCTGGACCCCAACGCTCCCTGGGTCAAAAAGGTCATCGAGAGGATCCTGGCAAAGTAAGTTTCTGTAACACTCTCCTTGTCCCTGCCCAACTTGTGATACTACTCAATGTCTTCTGTGGTTTCAATTTAATTCTAATGCGGAATCACAGTTTTTTTTACCGGATAAAAACACAGCTCTTTATTATTTTTACAGCAGAAAGCCCTGAAGCTGGGAAGAGGGTTGTGAAAAAATGAAGTTCATCTGATACTCCAGTGTTTCCTGTGTGACCAAAATTTAAAGTGTTATTTATTTAAATGTCAACGTGTTAATATATTGTTAATTTAAATGTTTTTGACTTTATATATATAAATTATTACAGTTGGTTATCGTATTTAACAAAAAGGAGGCTAGCGCAGTCGGTAAGATTGTTGCCTGTGGCAAAGTGGTGGTAAACTCTAGACAGGGTGAGAAGAAACGCATTAACAAGCTGATTCAACACAAGATACTTTGTACACAGTGTTTTACTGTGAGCCATTGAGTACACTTTGTAGGTGAACGTGTCATATTGACATTTCATATAAAAATTACTGACACCAAAAGAACATAATTTAAAGCATTATTGTCATTGTTTTGTAAATGTTTTTTTTTTGGCAGAAATTTGTCTAATTCTTATTATTTTTCTTATATATTTATTTACATTTTATGTACTGTGATATTTCTGAAAGTTCGTGATTAAATGTTTTTTCTGGTATGCACAGTCTGATTTATTTCACCATCATTGGAAATGTATTTAAAAATCACACGGCATTGGACAGAGTAGAATGGATTTCTCTCCCACACGACATTCCAGTTCTAATACGGCCTTCAGGACCAGTTATCTGAAGCTTGGCCCACCCCAGTGCAGATACACTTCTGTGTATAACTTCTGTATCTTTGAAAGACTGTTAAATTTGTTTTGTTTTTTACATGTTGCCATTTGACATATAGAGTGCCATATTTTCGTTAAGTTCTTTAACTTTCCTTATATGACATCAGATCTTCCTTTTCTTAAAGTGTGGTGTCATCAGCATGTTGCTCTGACATAACTTGGAAATTTGGAAGTTCCCTTCCATTAAGCTCTCTAATCTGTACCGAATCATCATTATTATCTCACTAGTAATGTAAAGTAAACTATACTATGGCTTGCACACTCAGTGCAGGTTAATTATTCTTCATGAAGAGACCCAGCAAACGAGCTGTTCATTGAACATATTTTAATTTCCGTGAGCACACTCGACATGCTAGATCTCACTCGCCGAACACTGGACATTAATGCCTGCATCAAACATCTTTGCTCTTTTGAAAAACAATGCTGTTCACTGTCTTGCCACGGGAAAAATCATTATTTTTTGTTAGACTTTCTAATCATGCAGTCACTGGTTGAGAAACTGTGGGGTTTTTAATGATGTCACACTAATTAGCAGGAACGCAGAAAATGCAACATTTTAATAACATTCAGACAGTGATTTGGCATGACAAACGCCACCTCCCACTGTGTTAGGGCGGATATGCTAAGCTAATGCACAGCAATCCTCATCCTATATACTGATTCCGATCGTATAAATTTCACAAGATATGACAATTGAGGGGTGCATTAGACAATAATGAAGGGTCAGTTTCACTATAATCCAAATATTAACTTACTAATGTTTAATAACACAGTGTCTAATATAATGCAGACACTAAAAACGGGAACTGCTAGACAAGAAAACAGGTCAAGATGACCTCGTCCTAAATGGATTGAGGGGTTAATCATTTAAGAATGCAACTAATAATTGTTCCCGGCAGTAAGAGAACAGGAACCGAGCAGGCCAGGAGGACCTTGTTCCCGACAGTAAGAACAGGAACCGATCATGTATACCTGACACTTATTTTTACTCTTTCCTGGGAACATGCATACACACAATAATTAGAGCAAAAGTCAAAATATGTGGTAGTCACGTAGGTGGAAAAGTACAGAAAAGGGGGGCCACACCCCAAAAGGCCTATAAGGACCTAGAGCCGACACCTATGTTTTGAGCATCTTCCTGTACATGCTGAATGTGTGTCAGATCGTTGCTCCCTGATTAATCAGAATAAACTGGTGTCCTGCAACCACTCCTCGACTGTGCAGTGAATCTCTTCTCATCAACGGACTCCGGCGGAGATCTGACTCCAACACAATAAACACGTTTCTTTTATTTTTCTTAATCGGTATTCCAGTGGGTAGCGAAAGTGATCATATATTTCAGCGGTAAGCGGCATAGGTGAAGATCTATTCCGAAGCACAAGGAGGCGCTGTCGCCAAACTGGAGAGGTATTTTATTCATTATTTATTTTGGGGGCGGGGGGATTACAGTCGTCACTGTTCGGTTGCACTCGTTGATCGGAATGGAGACCGAAGAAGGAGGCAAGATGGCGGGGCGCGGGAAAAGAAAACCCAAGTCAGCAGTGCAGGTACACCGAAGACAAGCGCCAATGACCTGCCTAGGCTCAGTTTGCGTCGCGTGCATGTCCGTGCATGTTCAGCTAGCCGTGCAGGAGCTTCCCGCGGATGCTGGGCTGTGATGGGGGGCTGGAGTGCACCGGGCAAGACAAAAAGAGTTAAACATTCAATTCGTGTTATTGGAGTTAAGGCATACGAACCGGAGGTGCAGCATACATTATGTATTCATGCACATACGCTTTTGAATTGGGTTTTACGGTGTTCTAAAATTTAACAAAACAGTTGTGCAAAAAAATATTTATCACACCCGTACTACAGACGAACTGCCAAAACAACGGTGGCTGCATAGCCGAACCGGCTAATTAAGAAGGCTGGAGCTGGACACAGCTGAGGAAGTTGTGGAGAGATGTCCAGACTGCTGTCCATAATGGTTAATAAAGACCATCCGCTCAAAAAGGATATCGTCATCACAGTGTCCCTGAATGATGTATTTTCACTGGGAAGGGCACCCCAGAGGGCACGTCTCAATTGTAAGGGCACCTCATACGCACTACATCACGTTTGATCCTCTGGAGGGGCGCCTGATTGGGCACTTCATGTTTTCTCACCACTTAGGAGTACCCTTTACAGTAGGGGTTACCAACCCCAGGTATGTTGACTGGTACCCATTCCTGGTCAGTAGTCCACTGGGCCTCGGAATGTTTTCGTGAGCCTTCATGTTTGTCCGTTCCGTAAAACTGCCAGTCGTTCTGCTGGCAAGTAGATCATTGTATGGGCACCTTATAGGGCACTTCATCACATTCTCTTGCTCTATAGGGCATCATCATACTATTTCACATTAAGGGGGCACCCCAGATGGCACCAAATCGTTTTTTTTCCATGTGAAGGGCAACTAATACCAGCATTTTTACCCCCCTAGGGGGCACTTTAGTAACCTTTCTTCCAATGATGGGGGCACCAGTGCTATTGCTATATTGTTTTGTGCAGTTCTCTTATTTATCCTTTAAATTTCTCTTTCATGTTAATTGTATTACAAATTTTTCCTTAATGTATTTGTCTTTTTACTTATTTATTATCCTTTATTTTTGTTTTTTTTTCTCTCTTTCTGGACAAAGAAATATGCCCCCACAGGACTCATTAGAGTTCTGCCTTATTGTTAAAAATCATTTTTATGAGTTGCAAAAAGGAGATTACCGACTAGTACACTTTTGACCTTGTTGTGTGCTAAACATTAGATAATTTTTGGCTTTTAATACATGTAAGGATTGCTTGCTGGTCATAATGGTTTAATGCTTCAACTGAACCTTTTTCCTGCAGGAATCTGAACCAACAAACAGGGATATGAAGAGGCCCAGGTCTGACCTGGAAAGCCGTGACCTGGCCCTGGAGGCTGAATGTCTCTATAAACTTAGGATGCCACCGGATTTCTACCATTTCTGGGCCTTGTGTCAGCGCCTGAGCCCAGAGTGTCCACAGGGTTAGTGAGTCCCCCCGGCGACAGGCAGGGATGAGCCGGTATTGTGATGTGCAGCTTGTGATTAAAGGGCATTTAACCTCACTTGTTTCCTGTAGATGCCTTGAAGCAGGCCCTTGGCCTGCACCTCGTTGGCCCTTATGACATCCTCGCTGGGAGGCATAAATCAGCCCCGAACTCAACGCCAAACTACTTCCTGCACTGGCGGTACTTCTACGACCCGCCTGAGCTCCAGACCATCCTGGTGGGAAACAGGGACAGCCAGCATCACATGGGTTACTACAGGTAACTATGGAAACCGTTCACAACTGTTGACAAGACTCAGTGTTATATGAATATTAACTATCAAAATTTTAACAAAATTAACACTGTACTAAAACTATGGCTGCGATAACTAATTGATAAGTCGATCAAAAAAAGAATGTAGTCATTGATATGTTGCATTTTTCTGTAGACCATTGGGGACGGTAAAGTGCTTGTATGTCTGTTTGGAAGGCTAGACGGTAATTAGGGTGCGTTCGTGTGCCTGTAGGGACAGTCCCGATGCCCTGCCTGTCTTCATCGGGGAAAATGAGGCGACGAAGGGCTGTGCGATCAGCCAGATGGGGGACAACGTGTTTGCTGCTGTGCTGTAAGTGTCACTGAGAAAGAGGAGGACCAACTGAAGCCTGAGCGTCTGCGTGTGTCTCTGCCGTGAGGACTGCGTCTCTGAGATGCTCTGTGCTCGTTTGCGCACCGAGGCTGAGCGGCACGTCCGGCGGCCGTGGGCTGGTGTCTGTGTCACGGGTTTTTTTTTTCCTGGCTGCCGCACACAGGCTATTCTTGGAAAGGAGGAAAAAGGAACTCCCCAGCAAGAAGCAGTCATCCTTGCTGTTGTCCCTGGAGGCGGAGATCAGGGACGCAGCTAAGACGCTGGGCTACTCCCTCGAGCAGAAGAGCAAGAGCATGAAGCAGCGGGCCAGGAAGGTAGCTGTGTACCTTTAACACCAGTGAGATGGGCAGCTTATCGAAGTACAGGTTGAGAAATAAATCCCCGCCCCCTTATTTCCTTGACCAATGAGCTTGCTTGTGTGTTAGGTGGTGGCTCAGACATTTCACGGTGCAGGGATTGTGGTTCCCGTTGACAAGAATGACGTGGGTTACCGGGAGCTCCCGGAAACAGACGGTGAGTGTCAGTCAGCAGACACTTGGCCTCATGGTGTAGCGCAGTGTCATATGAAGGCTCTCCATGAAGATAAGCGAGCCCATCAGCAGGAGCTGGCATGGTGCCAGTACAGTGCTGCCGCGCTCAGGCACACGGATCAGACCCAGCATGGTCGGGAGGCTCCCTTAACGCAGGTGTATCTTGTCCTCTCAGTTTCTGCGTTGTTATTTCACTAACACTTCATTTTGAGTGAAATATCACTTTTTCAAACACTGGGCAACAAAGCTGAAAATTAGTTCCTTGAACAATCAGCGGAAATTCAATAGATATTATTTGGTCACCCCATGACAGACAGTGGAAGAAAATCCTCAGCTACTGCTTGACTAACACACACAAACACACACGCCATGCTTTTAGAGAGCTGAATCAATTTTGCTTTGCTGTCAAGAAAATACCTCATCTTCCATTGGTGATTTCAATTAAAACTATCATCATAGTCTTCATACTCTTTTCACAATTAAGACTGACAATTAATATTCTGACTGAAAGAATATTCTTCATAAGTGGTTGAGAACCTCTTAAGGTTTTTTGAACATTTGTCCTCATTCCTCTTTGGTGGTAGTTTTGTGCGCTTAGCTTGGATCGTTTTCAGTAGACAACATCAGGAAGAGTTTTGTGACATTCTATCTGCAGCTGGTTTGAGGAAGATATGCAAAGCCATCGCAGATGCCAAAGATGACGAGGAGCGGATGAAGGCCTTCGCTCCCATCCAGGAGATGATCACATATGTGCAGTTTGCCAATGATGAGTGCGATTATGGCATGGGCTACGAACTGGGCATTGATCTTTTCTGCTACGGTTCCCATGTGAGTATGAACAAAGCTGGGAAGTGAACGGGGGCCAGGCTGACTCAGTGC